ATAAACCCTTTATGTTTCATTTTTTAAGCTTATGGTTACTAACTTTTTATTTCATTGAGTGTTCTATTTTATGTTTCATTATAGATTTTAGACTCAAAACTCTTTAAATATGATGCTCTTTTGATTCATTTTTGCTTGTTCATTTGATTTGTACGTGTTCGAATTCGGTGTCAAACCGAAACCGAACCATTAGGTTTTCGATCTGTTATGGACCTCTATATTGTAATACCAAATCGAACAGAAACTGAAATAATGAACATAATACTTGTATTAAATTTAGTATTTTTTATTAAATATACCATTAATTTTAAAATTTGAGATCTAAATGAATGTTCTAATTACTTTTATTAATTTGGTTATATTTACATTAGTTTACATTTATGAATTTTTATTTATATCTTAAGTTTTAGTTAATTCAAAATCAAATGAAATATATAAAAAGTATATCTTAATTTAATATATTTTAATCATCAAGCACAAAAAAAATCATTTAGGAACTATTTTAGGCATTATAAATTTAAAACACCCAGATGATAAAACAAAATTAATCATTTAACACACAAATTAACCAGTAAATAAGTTTATGTGTGTTTATGGTATATTCTAAATTATTATTAAAAAAATAATCGCATGGCTTTTTCCCTTATTTTTAAAAGGATTCTATGAATAGTTTTGTATTTAGTTCTTTGATTTAATAATGGTAATAATATTATTTCTTAACAAATTTGCGTGATATATTCCGAGATACACTATCAATTTTCAAACATTTTTCTATTTTTTGTATAAAAAATGGCAAGCATTAATTATTGATAATTATTTATATATAAACCATTATTTTGTAATAAACTGACAATTAATTATGCTATAATGGTGCACCCGAAAATCTTCCGGTTAAAATTTAGATATTAACGAATCAAATGCAGTTTTTTTTAGAAGCCACAATACAATAAAATTTACAACTAATTGAATTCTCCATATGTGAATTCTACTATTTATAAAACATTAACAATCTAAAAAATATTCCACACGTAATATCTTTCTGAATTTTTGCATATATTTTCTTTTTAATGTTAATGTTAATAAATAGTAGAATACTCATGTAAAATACCATAATCGAAAGAGCATATAACATATAGATTTATAAATTGTGATTTGCAAGTAAATCATGATTATTTAGGCCCATAAACAAAAGAAATGTAATTAAGCTTTCTAGATTAAAAGATCAATGAGCGTTTATTTGGATAATAGACAAAATCAAACCATGTAATTTCGAGTCCTACAATAGTTAGTAGAATATTTAAAATATAATTGGATAAATTTTTCATAAATACCACGAGTTTAATTCAGTTTCAAAAATCAACTAATCTTTTCACATACATCTAAATAAACAACCAACTATAGTTTCTGAAACAATTATAGATCGGGTTCTGAGCTTTACTCGAACATGTTTGGAAGTGGTCTCACGGCCATGAACGCATCCACCATCTGCAAATTGTAAACAAGGTAGTTAGTGAGAATGATATGAATCTTGATTAATTTGAGAAACTAATGACAAGTCAAATCGGTTTTACCTCATCAGTAACGCAAGCTCGAGCTCTGTGATGTCTCTCCACCATTTCTGTTAAAACTTCAACAAGACGACCTTTTACTGCTCCGGTTTGCATTCTCCCCTCTCCATATTCCTAAGACAAATACAATCGACGTGTTGAGACTTTTTCAGAAAATCCGGTACGACACATTCTTCCTTCTCTTAATCATCTAATAACAAACTAGCGACAAACGTAAAGTATTTTACCTTTTTAATGTACTCATGTTCATAATCAGATTCAGTAAGAAATGTAGATACTTGACTGGTACGTCTTTCTGCGAAATAAGGGAAAGGATATTCCCAACAAAAAAAGACTTGGGAAAGTACTCCAAACCGATAGATGTAAGTATCACGAAAAACCCTCCTACAAGAATCGGCAAAATGGTTCCTACGCCAATTAGTTTTTGGTACCTCGAGGTCTGCCCCTAATAATATTTGCTTCTCGACCGTGTCTTTCCCACCACTAACCGCACCGTTTACCTGCAAATAGAACCGCACCAAGTTTTAGATACTGGAAGCAATTATCTGATTTCCCTATTAGAGCTGGTTCTGTAATGTGTGACGCCCACATGCTGTTCCAGCAATAAAGTGACACTCAGAATTCACCTTATTTTTAATGTCCTTTGCAGTATCAGTCACATAGATAGCGGAATTTGGATCACTAGCAGACATTTTTCCATTCTCTCCCTGCGAGAAGTGAACAAGGCATTCAATAGCTGAAAAGCATGAAGGTCTGTTGTACAAGCTATAAGCATGCAGTAACTCTAGACTACTTAAGAAAGTACTTGCCTTCAGAGCAGGGAAAAATGAAGACTCAATCAAAGCAGGCTTGCAATAGCCTAACCCGGGTGCAATGTCGCGAGTCATCCTAAAATAAGGATCCTGAAGGAAACCAAAAACAAAGATTGATATTATTAACACAAAAAGCAGCATAACATATTGATACATGCAGAACACAAAAGAGAGAAATTATGGACGGAACGAAACAATAGATCTTTGAAAACAAACGTGGTTAAGATCCAAAGTAAGAAAACAGCACACACCTGATCAATCGCACAAGGAATCAAGCAACGGAGATTGTCCTTGCCACTAGGAAAGATGGAACTGCCTACAAATACATGGATAACAATTATCCAATTTATATATAACAGTCTATATGCGTTAGAAATACACATGCCCGCACCAACAGGGAAAAGACATACCTGCACAGGAGGGAAACTGAGTTTTCCAATAGGATCTTTATCTCTGAAGCCAAAGGTTGCCTTAGCCTAGCAAAGAAGGAAACATAAAAAATGAAAAACCAGGAAAACAAAGCAGCAGCTACATTGTGCAATTCAAGGAGATAGAAAGCACAGTCACCTTATTAAGACTCAAGCACTTTGAAACCTTCACCATGTTTTTATAGAAAGCACTACACACAAGGTTTTTTCAGATCATCAGCCAGAAAAACTATAATGTGAACATCAAAACCAAAACCTAGATCGTATACAATAGAAGGGACATCTTATGAGCTAGACGAATCTTCACCAAAGCGACAGGACGTTGAGCTATGTGCATGTGGATTACCAGTAGTATTTTTACCAGAGATTCAAAAGTGACTTACCCGCCAACATAATCGAAGTCAGAGAAAATGAAGGTCTTAGTTACATCGAATCCGCAGGCGATAATATCTTTGGCATTTTCTCTGGCAAGTCTTTGACTTTCCTCTACCGTAATGTTCTTCCAGATGCATTTTTCATCGTCCGTAAGCTGTATAACGAGGGGGACCTTGAAGGTCTCTTGCAAGCCACCAATTGAAGCATAAAGAACAAGTAAGACCCTTGTATCGACCCACCACCTTATAAAAATAGGTTCAAGATCTCACATACTTGGTAAACATGAAAGGGATCAAATGTCCTAAATGCAAAGCTTCTGATGAAGGTCCTCTTCCCGTGTAGAGATAGAACTTGTCTCCTCTCTCGTAAGCATCCAAAATCAGATTGAAATCCATAATAACCACACAGTTACAACATGCCCATCTACGCAATTCATACAAAAAGTAGTTGGATCATCAAAGATAAATTAGCTGAATGCCGAACTTGTGGACGAAGAAGACACCGCGACGGAGGAATACGTGCGGTTGACGAGAAGTCAGTCTCTGAACACGATCAATCAGCGACTCATCGGCCCATGGATTCACCACTTGCTCCTGCTGATGATTCCCCAATTGCTCTTCATGTTAATTCATCAATTGCGGTTCAGACTCTATCTCCATTGGCAATTGCAATTGATTCACCAACTTCTCCCAAGGTTCATGCTCTCTCTCATCCATCGCCATAGCGTTAACCATCCCCATCGGTTCATCGGAAACGATTTCCCCGCCGTTTTTGGAGGAAACTGCCCGTAGATTCACCGCTTGCTCCGAAGGTTCACGCTCTCTCTCCATCGCGCGGCCAGGAAAAAGGAATTCGGATTCGACGGCAGTGGAGATGCGGCGGCGAAGAAGACAACGGCGTATAAACAATTCAAAGGGAGCGAAGAAGACGAGTACAAACAGATTTCAAAAAGAAAGAAAAAAAAGACGAGTACAAATAAATTAGGTTTTTTAGTTGGTAAAAGTGTTTTCCTTTTTCTTTTAGGCCATCGAAAAAAAAAATATATATATACTTTAGAGATTGACGACAAAAAAAAATATATATCTTATCAAAATTCAAGGATTGCCACAGCCTTGCAAAGAAGTAGATATAAAAATGAAATCACAAGGAAAACAAAGCAACTAACATCTTAGAGTAGTCAATAACAAGACTCCAAGATGCATCAAATCTGAAAAAGGCCTTAGAGGTAATGGAGTCTCTAGTGTAGTAGCTAGAAATCGCATTGTCTTTTTTTAGTATATTGAATCGAACATGTGGTTTTTTTTAGTATGTCTCTTGTTTTGTTTGGGGAAAAAATCCTTGATTCCGGTTTTTTTTTCAAGTGTTAAAAGA